TTATCACCATCATCATCATCACCAACAGAATTTTCAACATCATCATCGTCATCATCGTGACACCAATATCTTTATCATCATCAGCATCACCATTTCATCATCTCATCAACATCAACACCATCATGATCATCAACATATTCATCATCATCGGGGCACCAGCATCGTCATCAGCAACCTCATCATTACCAACATCATCTCATCGGGTCACCATCATCACCAGGACACCATCACCATCAACATCAGCATCATCATCATCGGGCCACCTTCATCATCATGACCTCTTCATCATCCTCATCATCAACATAATCATCATCACCATCACCGGGACACCATCATCGTCATCATCACCATCAACATCATCATCATCATCATCATCATCGGGACACCATCATCATCTTCACCATCATCATCAACAGCATCATCAACCTCAGCATCATCACTGGAACACCATCATCATCATCTTCATCATCATCACCATCTCATCATCTCATCATCATCAACATTATCATGATCACCAACATCATCATCATCATCATCATCATCATCATCGGGACACCATCATCAGCATCATCAACATCATCATCATCACCATCGGGACACCGTCATCATCACCACCATGGCCATCACCATTTTCATCGACATCGTCATCATCATCGTCATCATCATCATCATCATCATCGTCGGGACACCGGCGGGACACCGGCGGGACACCGGCGGGACACCACGCGCCACCGGCCCCCGGACAGGAAACATTTGGTCCGGCCGCGCTTCAGCCAGAGGCGGGACACTTCTCGCCCGCCCATGCAGCTTCGCCTCGCCCGCACGCACGGCACGCACGAACACGAAACCGAAGCCGATTTCCCGGTAGGGGGGCTCTCCGTTCCACTTCGATCTCATCTCGGTAGTCCCCAAACGTGGTGGTGACAACACCTGGCGGTGAGTCTCGGGCGATTTGGTGTCACCACCCAGTTTGGGGACTCGTGCGGTTTTCCGAGGATGTCCCGAACATTGGTGGGGCCAGGAGTCACAAAACCCGGTGGTGACCCCGTGTCCCCAAACCCAGAGGTGAACTTTTTGGGGATTCCAGGTCGCCACCTGGTATCTCACCACCGGGTTTGGGGGTTCCCAGTCATCCCCTCACTTCCGACGAATAATATTCATATTGATAACAAGAATAATGAGCAGTATAAACAGGATAGTACTAGAAAGATTAATTGTGCCAACAATACTAATACTGACACTACTAATAATATACATTTCAATACCAATAAACATTATTACTAGTGATAGCAATAATAATGTAATCGTGATAGTAGTAATAATAATCGTAATAATAACAAGAATACGCATACTGATGATAAGAATACCCATAATAATGCTACTAATACTAAGAATAATGATATAAAAATAGTACTGATACTATTAATAGTAGTAGTAGTAGTAGTAGTAGTAGTAGTAGTAGTAGTAGTAGTAGTAGTAGTAGTAGAAGTAATAATAGTAGTATTAGCAGCAGCAGCAGCAGCAGCAGCAGCAGCAGTAGTAGTAGTAGTAGTAGTAGTAGTCGTCGTAGTAGTAGTATGAATACTACTAATCGTAATCAGCATACTAATAATTAGTATTACTCGTACTAATACTAACAACATTAATAGTACTAGTGACAAAAGTTACCATAGTAAGAGTAATACTACTAACAAAAATAATGATCATACTAAAAGCAATACTAATAATCATACGGATCACAACATAATAAGAAGACGAGGGGAATGGGGAAGAGGAACAGGAGAAGGAGGAGGAGGACGAGGAGGAGGAGGAAAAGGGTGAGGAGGAGGGGGGGGAGGAGGAGGGTGATTAGGAGGAGGAGGAGGGAGGATCGAGAACAATGAGGAGCGAGGATAATGAGGACGAGGAGAAGGGGATCCTCGATCGTTGTTCGACGGCCGACTGGGACACCGCTCCGACACGACGACCCTCGCGACGCCGACGGCGGGACCCCGCCGTGGGCCCCGGGCCCTCCGCGCCGAGGCGGAACCCGGCGAGCCGCCGCCCGCCAAGCGGCGGAGGAGTCCTCCGCCACCCGAGGAGGAGGAGGGAGGAGAAGCAGGAGGAGGAGGAGGAGGAGGAGGAGGACGACGAGGAAGAGGAGGAGGAGGAGGAGGAGGAGGAGGAGGATGAAGAGGAGGAGCAGGAGGAGGAGGAGGAGGAGGAGGAGGAGGTGGAGACCAGAGGCCTCCGAGCGCCTCCTTTGAAGGGGTCACTCCAAACCCCCCTCCCCCTTCCCTGCCACCCTACCCCCCGCTCCTTTCGGTTTCTCCCTCCTTTCTCCTGCTCCCTGCTGCTGCAGCTGCTCCTCCTCCCTCCCTCTCCCCTTCGGCGCACCCCCCATTTGTCTTCCTGCTTTCTCCATGATTCAGACCCTCCTGCAGCTCATGCGGCGAAACTATAGGAACACCGATACCAGTACTTCACGGATCTCCCCCTGGGCGTTTTTTGGGCGAGAATGTCGGGGCGGATCCAGCCGTGGCGGCCAGTGCCTCCAGGCAGGCCGCCGCCGCATGGGTGGCTGAAGACAGGGCGCTTCCAGAGCCGATGCCCGACCAGATGTACGTAGAGGGCAAAGCAGATAGCGACGGCAAGCGACAGGAACCAGGAGGAGGACGGCCTCCTGAGGACGAGGATGGGGACGAGGAAGGCGACAAGGATGAGGACGAGGAGGGGGACTACCTCCTTTGCCCCCCATTGCCCACTTGGGCTCCCGTGGCACCTCGTCGGGCCCAGGGCCGCGCTGCCTGCGCCCGGCTCGTGGGCGGAGCTGGACGCCACCGCGGCTGCGGAGGCCGAGGCGAGCGCGACGCATGGCAAGGTGGTGGATGACGATGATGACGACGACGACGAGGACGATGATGATGATAATGATGATGATGATGACGATCATGATGATGACGATGATGAACATTATGAAGACGTTGATGTTAATGATGATGACGGTGATGATGATGAGGATGATGGTGACGATGACGATGATGATGCTGATGATGCTGACGATGATGACGATGATGCTGATGCTGATGAAGATGATGACGATGACGATGCGACGATGACGATGCTGATGACGATGCTGCTTCTGATGATGGTGATCACGATGATGATGACCATGATGATGATGATGATGATGATGATGATGATGATAACGATGATGATGATGATGATGATGATGATGATGATGATGATAATGATGATAATGATGATGATGGTGAGGATGATGATGAGGATGAAGAGGATGAGTATGGTGAGGCCGATGCGGGCGCAACGCCTAGCAAGGTGGTGGATGATGAGGACGACGACGATGACGATGATGCTGATGAGGATGATGATGATGATGGTCATGATGATGAAGACGATGATGATAATGATGATGATGATGAGGATGATGACGACGACGATGATGATGACAATGATGATGATGATGATGATGATGCTGCTGCTGCTGATAATGATGATGCTGATGATGATAATGCTATTGAATATGACGCTCATGATGATGACGGTGACGATGCCGACGACGATGATCACGATGCTTATGAATCTTTTCATGATGCGGACGGTTGTGCTGCTGACTATGATAGTGATGACGATGGAGAGTGAGGATAATGATCGAGATGATGATGATGATGATGATGATGATGCTGATGATGATGATGATGATGATGATGATGACCATGATGATGACTATGACGATGATGCTGATGATGATGATGCTGATGATGATGATGATGATGATGATGATGACGATGACGACGACGATGGTGATGATGATGCTGATGGTTATGATGATGATGATGGCGATCACGAAAACGATACTGATGATGATAATGATGCTGATGGTGATGATGATTCTGATGAGGAGGATAATGAGGGTGAGGACGATGACGCCGATGCGGGCCCGACTCATGGCAAGGTGGACGATGGCGGTGAGGACGACGACAATGATGATGAGGATGACGCTGACGATGACGATCACGATGTTGATGACGATGACGATGATGACGACGATAACAATGACGATGACGATGACGATGATGGTGACGATGACGATGATAATGACGATGACGATGACGATACTGATAATGATGACACTGACGATTGTAAGGTTGATTGCGATGACGATGATGACGATGATGCTGCTGATGAAGATGTTGATGATGGTGAGGGTGGTGCTGATGATGAGGATGCTGATGTGGATGATGATGAGGATGGAGGATGGGAATGATGATGCTGCTGATGATGATCATGGCAAGGACGACGAGAACGATGATGATGACGACGATGATGATGATGATGATGACGGCAAAGACGATGGTGATGATGATGTTGATGATGATGGTGATTATGTTGACGATGATGACAGTGCTGATGACAATGACGACGATGATGATGAGGATGACAGCGATGACGATGGTGACGATAATCATGATGACGATGATGACGACGATGCTGATGCTGATTGCGATGGCAGTGGTGACGATGATGACGATGACGATGATGATGACGATGGCAGCGATGATGCTGATGACGATGACGATGATGACAACGATTATGATGATGGTGATAATGATGAGGATGATAATAAGGGTGTTGATGTGGATGATGATGATTGGGGGTGGGGATGATGCTGATGATGATGCTGATGAAGATGGTGCGACGACGAGGACGATGACGACGACGATGATGACGACGACGATGATGATGACGGCACAGACGATGGTGACGGTAATGGTGATTTTGATGTTGATGCTGGTAATGATGATGATAAGGTTTCGTGTGCTGACGATGACGATTACAAGGATGGTTGTGACGATGACAAAGATGCTGATGATGATGATGATGATGATGGCGATAATGTCGACGAAAGCGATGCCGATGACGAGCATGATGACGACGACGATAACGATGATGGTGACGACGACGATGGCGATGATAACGACGACGATGACGACGACGATGATGATGATTATGGCGATGCTGACGATGATCATGATGATGATGACGATGATGAGGATGACGATGATGCTCATGATGCTGCTGATCATGATCATGGTGATGGTGATGATGATGATGAGGACGATGGTGCGGATGATGATGATGATGGTGATGACGATGGAGGATGAAGATACTGCCGATGATGCTGACGCTGATGATGATGACGATGACGAGGACGAGGACGATGCAAACGATATTGATCATGCTAATGACGATGACGATGATGATGTGAATGATTACTATGCTGATGATGGGGAATGATGATGACGATGACGGCGATGGTGATGATCATGATGACTTCGATGATAGTGATGCTGCTGATGGAACTGATGACGATGATGATCATGCCGGTTATTATGATGATGATTACGGAGATGATGATGATGATGATGATGATGGCGCTGTTCACGATGACGGCGATCATGGTGATGATGACCATGATGATGATGATGATGATGATGATGATGATGATGATGATGATGATGATACTGACACTGATGATGATGACGCTGACGACGATGATGGCGATGATCATGCTGATGTTGATGATGATGATGCTGATGATGATGATCCTGCTGACAGTGGTTACGATGAAGGTGAGGATGCATATGATGATGATGATGCTGATGACGACGATGACGACAATGATGACAATGATGATGACGATGACGATGGCAATGATGGGGACGATGTTGTTGATGATGGTGATGGGGACGAGGATATGGAGATGATAATGATGAAGAAGATGATGATGACGCTGATGATGATGATGATGATGATGATGACGACGACGATGACGATGACGATGATGATGATTCTGACGACGACGACAGTGACGATGATAATGTTTGTGATGTTGATGACGAGGATGATGATGGTGACCATGACCATGATGACGATGATGATGATGACGACGACGATGCCGATGACGACGACGATGACGATGACGATGACGATCGCGATGACGATGGCGATGATGGTGACGATGACGGTGATGACGATGATGACGATGCACCGGTGATGATGACGACGATGATGATGAAGCTGATGCTGATGATAACGATGCTGATGGCGATGACGATGATGATCATGACGATGACGATGATGATGAAGATGATGATGACGATGTCAATGACGTTGACGATGATGATCAGAATGATGATGATGATGATGATGATGATGATGACGATGCTGATGATGATGATGATGATGGTGACGATGCTGATGAGAATGCTGAGGATTATGAGGATGGTGAAGAAACAGATGTTGGTGATGGTGGTTCAGGATAGTGATGTTGCTGATGTTACTGATGATGATGATGCTGATGCAGATGAGGATGACGATGATGACGTTTACGATGATGACGATGATTTTTACGACGATGACGATGACAATGCTGATAATGGTGATAATGATGGAGATGATGCTGATGATGACTATGTCGGTGACGGTGATGATGATGATGAGGACGATGCTGACGACGACCGACGAGGATGATGACAATGATGATAATGACGGCGATGACGACACTGTGAGAACTGTTGATGATGGTGATGATGATGATGATGATGATGATGACGAAGATGTTGATGACGATGCCGACAAAATTGACGATGACGACGATGATGATGCTAATAATGATCATGACCATGATGGCCACGCTGTTGATGATGATGGTGATGATGATGATGTTGATGATACTGATGTTGAGGATGATCATGAGGACGAGTATGATGATGGTGGTGATGTGATGACGCTACTCCGAGTATGACGACGATGATGATTGTGATAATGATGTTGATTATGGCGATGACGATGACGCTGATGGTGACGATGATGCTGATGGCGAAGATGACGATGGTGGCAATGCCGACGGCGATAATGATGATGACGCAGACAACGATGATGATAGTGACGATGTTGTTGTTGGTTTGAAAGGATGATGATGATGCTGATGTGGGTGATGCTGATGCAGATGATGATGCTGGTGATGATGATGTCGATGACCACGGCGATGGCGATGACGACGACGATGCTGATGATGATGATGATGACGAAGGCAGTGCCGATGATGATGATGATGATGATGATGATGTTGATGTTGATTGGCGATGGTGATGACGATGCTGAGGATGGTGACGACGACGCTGATGACGATGGCGACACGGACGACGACGATGATGGCGATGATGCTGATGCCGATGCTGATGATGATTGTGATGCTGATAATGCTGCTGCTGCTGATGATGATGGTGGTGGTGATTGTGGTGGTGATGGTGATGCTGCTGCTGCTGATGATGATGATCATGGTGGTGGTAATGAAGAAGATGATGATGATGTTTATGATGATGACGATGCTGCTGTTGATGATGCTGGTGATGGTGATGCTGATGATGATGATGATAATGATGATGACGACGAAGATGAGGATGATCATGAGGATGGTGATGATGATGCCGATGACTATGACTAAGTTGATGATGCTGCTGATGATGACGATGACTGTGATCACGCTGATGATCACGGCGATGATGCTGATGCTGATTATGATGGTGATGATGATGACGATGATGATGACGACGTCGATGACGATGATGATGATGATTACGATGTTTCTGATGATGGTGTTGATGATGCTGACCATGATGATGATGATGATGATGATGATGATGCTGATGTTGATGATGATGGCAATGCTGTTGAGCATGACCGCGGCGAGAGCCACGCCGACGATGATGATGATGCTGCTGCTGCCGATGAGGATAAGGATGAGCTTGAGGATGTTGTTAATGATGATGGTGGCGACGATGCTGGTGATGATGCTGATGCTGATAATGCTGCTGTTGCTGATGCGGAGTGTGATCATGATTGTGATTTTGATGATGATGTTTATGATGATGGTGATGCTGATCATGATACTGATGCCGAGACTGATCTTTTTTGTCATGATGATGCTACGTGTATGATGATGTTGATGCCGATGTTGCTGTCAACAATAAGGAGGGTTGTGATGATTATGGTGATGGCGCTGATTATGGTGCTGATGCTGCTGTTGGTGATGATTGTGATGATGATGCTGATGATGACGACGCTGATGATGATGACGATGGTGATGATGATTACGTATGGTGGTGGTGATAATGATGATGCTCACGCTGCTGCTGACGATGACGATGATGATGATGATGATGCTGGTGATGATGATGATGATGATGATGATGATGATGATGATGATGATGGCGATGTTGCTGCTTTTGATGATGCTGCGAAGGATGATGATGCTGATGATGATGGTATTTCCGATGATTATAGTATTGCCGATGATGCTTCTGCTGCTGATGATGCTGCTGTTGAGGATGGTGGTGATGATGATGATGATGACGATTTTGGCGATGGTGGCGTTGATGATGACGACGCCGATGAGGAAGAGGCGGGGGAGGAGGATTTTGCCTCCGCACTGATGATCATCATGATTATGGTGGCGATGACGGCGTCGAGGACGCCGATGAGAAAGAGAGGGGGAGGAGGATTTTGCCGCTGCACTGCACTGCCAGGACTATTCATTATGATTTGAAATGCGGCGCACATATCCACCCGTCGAGGAACTCTTGCACCTGATGCAAGTACAAAGTGCGGCGCCGCCAGAACACGATAACGCAATGCACGTGTGGCCAAGCTCCATGAGCTTGGTGTCATAGAGCTTGCGCGTCTTACTGCGTATACTGTTGCTGGGGGGGGAACACGACCGCGGACGAGGAGGAGGCGGAGGAGGGGGAGGAAGAGGAGGAGGAGGAGGAGGAGGAGGAGGAGGAGGAGGAGGAGGAAGAGGAGGGGGAGGAGGAGGAGGAGGAGGGGGAGGCGGAGGAGGAGAAGGAGGAGGAGGAGTTGGAGGAGGAGGAGGGAGGCGGGCAGGAACGAGCAAGGGAGGAGGGGAGCGGGTGGACTGGGAGAAAGAAAGCGAGAGAAAAAGGGAGAGGGAGAGATCGAGAGTCCGACTGGGCGGGCGGGCGAGCGAGAGAGCGCGCGCAGAGGTATTGCGGTGCTTCGCCTTCGGCCTCCCTGGAGGGGTGCGGTTGCCAGGCGCCCCGCGTCTTGGCGTGGCTGGGGTTGGCGCCAGCGGAGCGATGGGCGAGCGCCAGTTTGGGAAAGATTTGCAGCGTAGACTTCAAATTTGTGCCCGCCCTCTCCTTCCTCCGCACTTGCAGGTTGAGATTTGACGCTGCAGCTAGGGGGTGGGGCGGGAGTGCGAAGTTGGAGGGAAGACAATTTCCCAACCATCCTGTAGTGTTGGGTCCTCGGTTGAAGTGACAGTACCCCGCGTCTCCTTCCTTCCTTCCATCCCTGCCTCTGCGCTCCGCATGTAAAACACTTCGGCACACCCCTCACTCGTTTTGTGACCCCACAGGGAGCTCCACCGAAGGCCCCAGGGGCCGCGTTCGCATGCGTCCGCGACACCAAGTGCAGCGCTTCGTGGCCCCATAGGGAGCTCCACCGCAGGCCCCAATGGGCGCGTTCGCATGCGTCCGCGCCACCCACCACAGTGTATCGTGGCCCCATAGGGGGCTCCACCGAATGCCCCAGTGGCCGCGTTCGCATGCGTCTGCGCCACCCCGGACAGCGTGTCGTGGCCCCTTAGGGATGTTCGCATGCGTCCGTGCCACCCAGTACAGCGTTGCCCCAGTGAAGGCCCCAGTGGCCGCGGCCGCAGGCGTCCGTACCACCTAGTACAGCGTAGGGAGCTCCACCAGACTTTCCAGTGGCCGCGGCCGCATGCGTCTCCCCAACCCATTACAGCGTTTCGTGGTCCCACAGGGAGCTCTACCGAGCTTCCCAGTAGCCGCGGCCGCATCCCCCACCCAGTGCAGTGTTTCGTACACACCGAAGGAGCTCCACCGAAGGCCCCAGTGACCGTGGCCGCTTGCGTTTCCGGACCCATTACAGCGTTTTGTGGGCACAGGGAGCTCCACCAAACGCTCCAGTGGCCGCGGCCGAATGCATCTCTCCCACCCAGTACAGCGCGTCGTAGTTCCATAGGGGGCTCCACCGAACGCTCCAGTGGCCGCGGCCGCATGCGCCCCCCTTCTCCCACCCGGCACAGCGCTTCGTGGCCCCATAAAGAGCTCCGCCGAAGGCCCCAGTAGCAGCGGCCGCATGTGCCCCCCCCGCCCAGTACAGCGCTTCGTGTTCCCACAGGGAGCCTCACCGGACTCCCCAGTGGCCGCTGCCACATGCGTCTCCCCCAGCCCGTTCAAGGCCAGCCCTCACGCGCTTCGTGGCCCCGCAGGAAGCTCCACCGAAAGCGGTACCCATAACGCGGCATTCGCAACTGCATATGGTGGGGTCCTTCGCCAGGCTGATTGGTCTTTGTTTCCCCTCCCAGGGGCTGTGCCCTATCTGTCCTGTAACCACCAAGCTCGTGTTGCCGTGTGGCGGTGGTGCGGCAGGGTGCGTCGCTGCGGCCCCGGGGGATGTTCTCATCTGTGTTCGGATGAGGGGCCCCCAAGCATGTCACCCTTCCCCAAAGGTAGGGTATCTTAGGGCCCTCCTCCTCCTTCTCCTTCTCCTCCTCCTCGTCCTCTCTGACTAAGTCAGATTGGGAAAGCCCTTTGGAAAGTCCTCCTCCTCGTCCTCTTCCTCCTCCTCCCTCCCCCCCTCACCCCTCCGCCCTCCCCCTGCCCCACCAAGCAACGGTGCGTGCACTTCGGGTATCTTTCTTGTCTTCAAAGGAACTGGGCCTGCGAGCCGCTCTGGCCGCCATGTGGCCGCTTGGTCACCGCCTCGTCGCCGCCCGTCGCCGCCCGTCGCCTGGGCCTGCGGAACGCTCTGGCCGCCATGCGGCCGTCGTCGCCGCCTCGTCGCCGCCCGCCGCCTCATCGCTGCCCGCTTTGCATTGATTCGCATTGCTTTGCTGTGAACTGCTTTGCGTTGCTTTGCATTGCGTTGCATTGTTTTGCATTGCGTTGCATCGTTTTGCATTGCGTTGCACTGCTCTGCATTGCTTTGCACTGGTTTGCGCAACTTTGCATTGCTTTGCATTGCCTCGTATCGCTTCGCATCGCTTCGCATCGCCTTGCATTGCTTTGCATTGCTCTGCATTGCTTTGCGTCGCCTTGAATCGCATTGCAGTGCTGTACATTTTTCCTAACCATCCTGTGGTGTTGGGTCCTCGTTTTGAAGAGAGATTCCCGCGTCTCCTCCTCTTCTCCTCCTGCTCCTCCTCCTCCTCCTCCTCCTCTTCCCGTCACTCCCTCCACTTTGGCACACCCCTCACACACTTCGTGGCCCCATAGGGAGCTCCACCGAAGGAAGGTCCAGATGCCAGCGCCCACATGCGGCCGCCGCACCAATTTTGGCACACCGCTCACAGGTTTCGTGGCCCCATGGCCCAGATGCCAGCGCTCGCATGTGGCCGCCGCACCCATGTTGGCACACCCCCGTCCACATGCGTCCGCCCCACCACTTTCGACCTTGCATTTTTTTTGTGGCCCCATACGGAGCTCCACCTGAGGCTTCAGTCGGTGTGTCCACATTCGGCTCCCCGCTCATTTCGGCGCACCGCTCACCCGGTTCGTCGCATCGTGGCCCTACGGCGAGTTCAACCTGGGGGCCCCAACGCGTTTCGTGGCTGCATGGGGAGCTCCCCCTCCTTCGTCCCCCTCCCTCGTCCCTCTGACGGTCCCGAGGCCCGGTGAGGGACCCCGGAGGCCGAACATAGAGTGGACACCCTCCCAGCGTACATGTTTTATGGCTCGAGGGGGCCTGCGACCCTCTGTCTCGTCCCTGGTCGTCCCCCCCCCCCTGCTCCTCCGCCTCCTCCCCGCCGCTCCCGCCGCCCAGGGGCCGAGCGCGTGCTCTGGTCGTCTGGCGGGGCGGCCGGGGCGCGCGGCTCCGGCAGCACGGCGGAGGCCGCGTGCTGCCTCCTCTGCTGCTTCTCCGCCTCCTCCGCCGCCGCCTCCCTCCTCCGCCGCCGCCTCCCTCCTCCCTCCTCCTCCTCCTCCTCCTCCTCCTCCCTCCTCTTCCTCCTCCCCTCCTCCTCCTCCCTCCTCCCTCCTCCTCCTCCTCCTCCTCCTCCTCCTCCTCCTCCTCCTCCTCCTCCTCCTCCTCCTCCGCACCCGTCAGCCCCGCCGTCGAGGTGGTGGGCCCGAGGGCTCCCAAGCCTCGTCTCTAGGTGCACTGAATGCAGTGTGGTGCGCCTTGGTGCTGACGCTGGCTGAGCAGGTCCCCTTTGGTCTGTGGAGTCCCGCAAGCTAGCCCCTTAAGTCGGGCACGTCCCTCTACAGGAGGAAGGTTCAAAAATAGTCACACAAATTGTATGGGGACCATGTTTGAAATCAGTTTTATGTTTGACTAGTTTTGAACATCGTCGGAGTACTTTTTTACTTTTCGCCCCAAACCCGCCTGTAGGAGGACACGCCCGACCTAAAGCTAGCCCAAGTTGTGCATTGTTGTAACCAGCAGCGTTTTGTCATGGCTGTCGCACTCACCCAGCAGGGGTGGGCCATAGAGCAGAGGACAACGGCTGCCCAGGTCTTGCTTGCTCAGAGGAGAGGAAAATGCGGCAGGAAATTTCAAACCAAGCGAGACCTCATGAACCAGATGCGTCGTATTCGACACGTACATAGCGTATGTACGACAATGACACCCGCTAGCGCATGTATCGCATGCCGTCGATGATTTGGGTCACAGGGCAATGCTTGCAAACACCTTCAGCGGGCATGTCATTCTCGAGGGACGTCGACATTTCGAGGAGTACAGTCGCCTTCGAGTTTGGAATGTAGCGCCTGCGATTATCGAGCCAGCGGCCTGGATGATCTCTGTAAACATTTGGCCGAGAGTCATTTGCCTCGCACTGTGGACCCACCACTTTCTTCAGATACCTCACGAGATGCCAGAGGCCATGGAGGAAAGCACATTGGAAATGCCATCATGGGTGTAGGCCCCATCATCAGGCAACCAGCCCAAGTCACGCAAGGTAGTACGGCAGGAGGCGGCAAAGTCGGCAGAAGGAGCCAACGCACTACACCAGGTGGTGCGACTGATAGCGAAGTTGGTGCATTCGGACAGCAGGGCGCTGGCAAAGGTAACAAACACACCGTACAGAACGTACGACGTCGACGCTAGCATCGGCCTCGCGGCGGCCATGGAGGACGCGGGGCAACAGTGCAACTCGGTATCGCATCGCCTCCTGGAACAACAAGAAGCGGGCGATAGCGTCAACTGGGTTGAGCGCGGCCCCCCCCACTCGTTCATACATATATACTGCTATCAGGGCAGGCCGTTTCGAACGAGGGCAGCGGACGTTTTCTCGAGGCCAGGCGTGGCCGAGGCTCCTGTGCTGGTAGACGAGGCGCTGACGTGCCATGAACAATTGGACAATTCATTCACCTCATTCTCCTCCTCCTCCTCCCTTTCTTCTTCCTCCTCTTCCTCCTTCCTCCTCATCGTCCTCCTTCCACCTTCTCTTCCTCTTCTTCTGACCTTCTCATCGTCCTCATCGCTGGCGTCGGCTGGTCGGCTGGCCGAAGACGCCCCCCCGCGCGAGGGCGACGAGAAATGCGCAAAGACAATATTGTCATACAGTTCAACGGGGTGTCCAGTGAGATCCCTGGTTTGAAAAAGGACCACCCGCATCCGTGTAACTGCTGCACATATCAACATTTCTGGCCATGGGCTCCGAGGAAGTCTCCAACGAAAGCCCCATGTTGGAAGAGAGCCGCCCTCCATCCGTGTAGCTGTTACATGATATGTAGTTTTCTGCTTTTGAAGTAAACGTAAGTCTCACGCGGCGCTCAAGCGAATGTTTCTTTTTGAAAGCGCCATCCCCCTATCCTTGAACGTGCTACAGCTTTTAATGCGAGTGTGCGCGGCGCCCAGGTGATTATCTCATTCCGAGAACGACCTGTGCTCCATCCGTGCAATTTTCTGCAAGTTTTGAAGACGAATGTGCGCTTCGCTAGGCACAACCTCGAGTCTGAAACGACCCACCCTCCATCCATGTAAGTGTTGCAAGCTTTGAAGGCCAATGTGCGTGTCACCAAGGCGAGAGCTCCATGTTGAAAACGGCCTTGCCTCCATCTGTGCAGCTGTTTCGAAGTTCAAGCTCCAGGGTCATATGTCACATGGCTAACCGACAGGCCCGCCCTACCGACACGCCTAGAGGTGCGACAGGGATGAGTTCTCCATGAGGTAAAGAGGGCGTTGGCTAAGGAAGAGGAGGGTGAGCAGGAGGAGGGGGGGAGGAGGAACAAGAGCAGCAGGATGATGACGACGATGACGCTGATGACCCTGGCGACGACGACAACGGTGCTGCTGCTGACGATGATGATGAAGCTGCTGCTGCTGATGATGCTGCTGTTGATGATGATGCTGCTGGTGCTGATGCTGATGCTGATGATGATGACGATGATGGTGATGCTGCTGGTGATAATGATGACGATGATGACCATGGTGTTGTTGATGCTGATGCTGCTGCTAATGATGACGATGATGCGGAGGCTGGCTATGATGCTGATGCTGATGCCGATGCTGCTAAGTATGATGATACTGCTGATGATGATGGCAATGATGATGATGATGCTGATGATGATAATACTGATGATGATGGTTATGATGATGATGTGATGATGATGCCGATGCTGATGCTGATGATGCTGATGCTGATGCTGATGATGCTGCTGCTGCGGATGATGATCTTGTTGCTGCTGTTGATGATGGTGCTTACAATGGTGGTACTTATAATAACGATGATGTTGATGTTGCTGCTGATCACGATATTGTTGATGTAGCTGCTGCTACTGCTGCTGCTGCTGCTTCTGGTGATGGTGGTGATGATGCTGCTGTTGCTTATGATGATGCTGATGATGATGCTGCTGCTGCTGCTGATGATGATGATGATGATGATGATGACTGGTAATGACGATGCTGACGACGACGAACGAGGGGTGAGGGGGGATGTATTGGGGAGCAGCTAGAGGAGGAGGCGGAGGAGGAGGAGGAGGAGGAGGCGGAGGAGGAGGAGGAGGAGGAAGAGGAGGATGAGAGAGGAAGAGGAAGAAGAGGAGAAGGAGGAGGAGGAGCAGCAAGAGGAGATGACCGTGCGGTCGCCCTTTGCAAGGGAGCTGCGCCAGCCGCACTGCTGGCTGGGCGTGGCGGCCAGGAGCGGCGAGTCCAACAAGATCTCTCACTACGGTCATGCCGTGGTGCCGTTCGCCCTCGAGCAGTTCGGCCGCCTTGCCCTCCTGGCGCGCCAGGCCTTGTCCTCGCTGCACCGGGAGAGCTACGACTACGGCAAGCGCCGTCCTAGTATAGGCCGGGCGCAGGCGGTGTGTCTCCGAGCTCTGCGGGCCGACATCGAGGCCGAGGTGGTCCGGTGCTGTGCCCAGACTTGGTGGAGCTGGGTGGCTCGATGGCGTGCGCGGCCGGGCACAGAGGCAAGCAGGCGATGGCGAGTGAGCAGGCCGGTATGGTAGGAGCATTGGGGCGCTACCGGTGCGAGGGGGAGGAGGCAGAAGAGGAGCAGGAGGAGGAGGATGAGGAGAAGGAGGAGGAGGAGGAGAAGGAGCAGGAAGAGAGAAGACGATGATGATGATGAGCGTAGAGAAGGGAATATGATGATGATGCTGCTGCTGATGATGATGATGATGATGCTGAGGATGCTGCTGCTGATGAGGATGAGGATGCTGATGAGGATGATGAGTCTGATGATGATGCTGATGCTGATGCTGCTGCTGATGATAATGCTGATGATTGTGATGATGCTGATGATGATTATGATTATGCTACTGATGCTGTTGCTGATGCTGATGCCGCTGCTGCTGATGATGATGCTGATGCTGATGCTGATGCTGATGCTGACGATGATGATGATGATGATGATGATGATGATGAGGATGAGGATGAGGATGATGATGATGCTGATGCTGATGCTGATGATGATGAAGATGATGAAGATGATGATGATAATGATATTGATGATGTTGATGCTGCTGCTGATGATGATGATGAATATGATGATGATGATGATGATGATGATGATGATGATGATGATGATGATGATGATGATGATGATGATGATGATGATGATGATGATGATGATGATGTGGATATGGATGAGGAGGCGGCGGAGGAGGATGAGGATGAGGATGAGGATGAGGATGAGGATGAGGATGAGGATGCTGATGCGGAGGAGGAGGAGGAGGAGGAGGAGGAGGAAGAGGAGGAGGAGCGGCAGGACCCCCCCCGCACTCTGGGCCACCCGAGCGCCCGCGCCCGGCCGCAGGCGCTCGGGGAGGAGTCCGCTCCTGCGCGTGCCGCGCCGCCTGGCGGCAGGCCCGCGCGGCGGCTGGGAGCCGTGGATCTAACGGGACCGCGACCCCTGCCTCCTCCTCCTTTCCTCCTCCTCCTCCTCCTCCTCCTCCTCCTCGCTCCTCCTCCTCCCTCCTCCTCCTCCTCCTCCCTCCTCCTCCTCCTCCTCCTCCTCCTCCAGGTTCGCGTTTGTGTCGACTGGAGGCGACCCGCCGCCAGCGTTCAACGCTGAACGCCGCCGGCGACCCAGGACTCGGTCGCTGCTGATCGATCTGACGTTTCGGAGGCGGCCGATCGCGTTCCAGGTTGCACGGTTCCCGGGGTGTCAGTAATCCATGCCGAGGTCGTCACGACACGGACTTGCCGTAGTCGGCGGCGGAAAAGAGGGGGGTGATGACTAGGGGGGGGTGGATATCATGGCGGGGGCCATGATTTTTGCCCAGATTTCATGGCGCCTCTTCTTATTTCATTACGTTCCTGGCCCCCCGCTGGGCCGCGCACATGCCGCCAGTCATGATTTGCACCCCCCCCTCTTGGACACCCCCCTCTTGGCCGCTCCCGACGTAGGGGTCCGAGTCCATTCGGGGGCCCCAAAGGGTGAGGCTACCCTCGAAGAAGACAAAACGGCATAAGCATGACCATTCGATGCTCTGCGCGGATGTCTTGGGTCCGCGCTGGGGCTCCCTGGCGGTGCCGCTGGCGCCGCCCCTGGTGCGCTCCGCGCGCCAGGGAGGGGGGCCCAGCGCGGATCCAAGAGATCCGCGCTGAGCGCCAAAAACTTCTGTTTATAGCTTTCTGTCTTTCTCTAATTTCCCAAACCGTGTGGTGACTATACACCGAGTGGTGAGTCGGTGGGAATTCGGGAGCACCGCACGATTTTGGGACTTGGGTCGTTCTGCGAGGATGTCTCGGGCGACTGGGGCCTCCGAGGTCCAAAATCGTGTGGTGACGGACCCTGCGGTGAGGTATTTGCGGATTCCCTAGTCACCGCCAGTTCTGTTACCACATGGCTTTCGGATTCCCAATCAGTGGGCAACGATGAGGTCGGGGGCGGCCTAATCGGCCCTTGGCAAACCACTCCTTCCTTGACGTTCCCGTCGCCTCACAGCAAGACGTGTGTATGCGGCCATGGAGAAGCTTGGAAGGTGAGAATGACGTCACGGAAGGTGCTGGTCACGGTAGGGGTTGGTTAGGCCGCGTCCGATAGGGAGGTTAGACTCAGGGGGGATGCATCGACTCCCAATTGCCCGTTGATCGCCGATATGGGCCTGATAGCCGCAACCTGCTCAGGAGAATGCGGATTCGCTAGTGGTGGCCTATCGCTGATCTGTCGGCGATGTTTTCCCCGATTCCAGGCCGACGTTCCCCCCTTGTGCCAGCCCCCCTGTTGTTGCTCCTTACCTTGGTGGCCCAGCACTGGCTCTGGCCAGCAGACTGGGTAGGAAGGGGGCCTCGTTCGTTTTTTTTTTGACCTGGGGGCTTCTCGTCGCCACGGCTGGACTCAGGAGAGAAAAACACACACAGACACAATTAATCGTCGATTCCCAAGAAAACATGGGAAAATATGGGCAGTGGGGGGGAAGACAGAAACCCAGAAAATATGGGAAAATATGGGGAATGATTTTATTTGTGTGCATTTATTTGCGTGTCCTGGGGCCCCTTCATGGACGTGGCCCGAAAAACTGGTGCGTTTGGATCTTGGGAGGGCTCCAGGGACAGATTTTGAGCGGGCTTGGCATCGCCCCCCCTCTTGGCCGGTTCTCGCCCTCCCTCGAAGGGGGCGGCTTTCCGAGCTTCTCTCCCCTGACCCCTCGCGTTTTGTGGGAGTATCGGCACGGGCAGCTCTGGCAGGTTCCGGCTCCCCCTGGGGGCCCTCCACGGGTTCCACGAGCGTCCCAACACGATTCGGGATTAGAAGGTGGTCCTGGGTGAAGGGTCGGGATCTCTATACATCCCCAGGGCGGAAGTTTTTTCCTCTTGGGCCCGGAGCGAAGGTTTGAAGTCTTGAGCAGACGCGTGTGAGATCTCCGCCGTCGGATCCACTTATGGTCGCGCGGATCCAATTTTGGTTTTGGTTTGTGTTTCGGTGGATCCGATTCCTGTCTGCGCGGTTCCGATTTCGGATTTTCCCGGATCCGCGTCCCACCTTATTTTGCACGGCGGATCCGATTTACAGTGGACCGGAAGAAATCGGATCCGCGGACCCCGCAAACCGCCCGTGTTAAGATTCTACGGGGGAGGGGGGTTCGGTAATCAACTTTCCACGATGGGCCCTGCGTCGTCTCGCGCACTCAACATGAATACATACATCTTTCTCCCCCCGGGTGCTGCAAACAGCTCGCCCGGTCGCCGTCCATTCGGCGGCGCCGACGTTGTCTCGCGAACTCCTCATGGCCTTTTTCACTTCAAGAGGAAAATCTTTCGCCCTGCGTAAGGAGGTCTACGTTGTGGGCTGGTCACGACGTCGAAGGTTCAGGTCTCTTAGCGAGCAGCTTTCGACCTTCGCGGTCGCTTCGAGACCCGACCAACTCACATCAAACACAGGCTTCCTTTCATCTCCGTCTGGCGCCCAGTTTGGGTTTGCAGCGGGGGTGCCTCAAAGTGAGGTGTGGGTGTTCACTGTTTCTGGCTTCTCTACCTTGGACGCGGGGGAACATGTGGGGGGCAAGGGAGGAGGGACGAGGGATGAGGGGCGAGGGAGGGGGGAGGGAGGAGAAACGAGGGGTGAGGGGGGATGGATTGAGGAGCACTCAGGAGGAGGAGGAGGAGGAGGAGGAGGAGGAGGAGGAGGAGGAGGAGGAGGAGGAGCACTCAGCAGGAGGAGGAGGAGGAGGAGGAGGAGGAGGAGGAGGAGGAGGAGGAGGAGGAGCATGCTGGCTTGCTTCGGTGGCCTGCCGTGGACTGCCGCGGCCTCCCGCTCCGCTGCCCCCATCCCCTGCTGCGGTGCCTGCGGGCCGCCTCCCGCGGCCCCTCCCCGCTGGCCAGCCCTGCGCGCCGCGCTGGCCGGTGGCCGCTCGGCCTCCCGTGGCCTCCCCGGGGGCCCCGCGCGGCCCTGCGCGCCGCGCCGGTGGGCGGCTGCTCGGACCTCCCCGCGTGTCCTGCCGCCCCGCCCTCGCCCTTGGCGCTGCGCTGCGGCGGCCGCGTGCGCAGCCCGCGCGGCGCTCCGGCCCCTGCGCCTCGCGCTGCCCCTGCGGTGGCCGCGTGGGCTCCCGTGGCTTGGCTCGGCTTGGCACGGCTACGCTTAAGTCGGGCCTGTCTTTCGATGAAAAATAAAAATGCCCATAAAAATGCTCCCAAATGGCAAAAAAACATTCAAAAAATGATCCGCATACTATTTTTGGACTATTTTGGGGGGTATTTTTTATTTTTCGTCCAAAACCCCCTGTAGGGGGACAGGCCCGACTTAAGGCTACGCGCTGCAGTGGGGGCGCGCATCAAGAAAGCATGTGCTTTTCGTCAGGGTACCCTGGGTTTCTTCACTCCGCGCGCCGCGCGGTGGCTTCCCGCGGCCAGGGAAGGAGCTGCTGCGTTCAGGGTCCTCCCGGCTTCCCCTCAGGTGCATCTCGCGCGCGGGTTTTCAGGATTGGGTTTCTTGCGAGGGTCTCTTGCGGCCGCGCCCGCACTGTATCGTTTAAACGAGCCCCATCCCCATCCCCATCCTCGTCGAGACCCCCACCAGATGACCACCCCAGTTGGGGATGCACCCCTCGAAGCCCGGAGGGGACGACCTATATATCTCCATCTCGGGGGGTAAATCGGCCAGTGGGGCCAGGCCACGCCGCTGGGGATGGGGATCGGTCAAACGATACTCAGCTACGCACGAGGTTCCACACGCATGGGGTTCCACTTCCACGCGCATCGGGTGCCACACCTGTTGCGCGACTGAGCTGTTGGGGGTCCACGCGCCTGCGTTGGTAGCACTGGAAATCATGGTGCATCCCCCCCAGCCTGTCTCCTCCTGGGCGTATTTCCCCTGGGCAGTCCCAGTGTGTGCGCTCCACCATTGAGGCGTATGGAGGAGGAGGAGGAGGAGGAGGAGGAGGAGGAGGAGGAGAAGGAGGAGGAGGAGGAGGAGTGCGAGATAAACAACGATGAAGTTGAGTTGAAGGGCAAGGGGCGGAGAGGGAGGGAGATGAGGATGAGGATGAGGATGATGATTAGGGTGAGGATGAGGATGAAGATGACCAATTGATGGTGCTGAGTTCTCATGTCCAAAGAATAGTTATTGAATCGCTTCGCTCATTCCGCCGGCCCGTGATATGGCATCGCTGGTTTTTGTCTGTGTGTTCGTTGCCCATGTTGCGCTCTTGGGGGCGGGTGTCGTTCGGACGCGTTGCGTGGGGAGTTTTGATGGTGAAGCAGTTCCCTGGGGGTCGTCTCTCGATGGGGCGAAATAGAGTCGTCGTCAAGATGCTTCTTTGGGGGGCCTCTTGGGGTCTGTTGAGAGGCCGTTCGGGGGCGCCTGGGAGACATGTTTGAAGCCTTCTGGGGCTTCTTTTGGGCCTCCTGGGAGTCTCCTGGGGCCTCTTGGCGACATCTTGGGGCCTCTTGGAGGCCTCTTGGGGCCTCTTTGGGACCTCCTGGGCGCCTTCTGGGACGGAGGGCTCCATTTTTGAGTTCTCGGTATCCCTCCTGAGTCCCTCTTGGGCCCGTCTTGGGGCCTCTTGGTCCGTCTTGGGCGGCACTTGGGCCGTCTTGAGGGCTCTCTTGGGTCGTTTCGGCGCCGTCTTGGGAGCTTCGTGGGCCGTCTTGGAGCGGTCTTGGGGGCCTCTTGGGCCGTCTTGGAGCGTCCGGAAGCCGAAAAAGCCAGAACACAAAAAACATCGAAAAAACCAATGAAAATCAACGATTTTGGCCTCTTGGGGCTCTCTTCGGAGGCCTCTTGGAAGGCTCTTGGGGCGTCTTGGAGGCCTCTTGGGCTGTCTTGGGGGCCTTTTGGGCCGTCTTGGGGTCATCTTCGGCGTCTTCGAGCGCTCTTTGGGCGTCTCGGGGGCCTCTTGGGCAGTCTTGGGGGCCTCTTGGGGCACTCTGAGCGCGCTCTGGGGAGCCTGAGAGGCCG